AAATTGGAAGAAAAATTTCGCAAATCAAGTCAGCACTAACCGAAGAAAGAAACACAAAGGGGAAGGGTAGTAATGATAGGACAAATAAAGACTTTAGGCAGATTTTGTACATAATAGGGGAATGGGAAAGAAGAATGGGGAAGATAAACGTGGTTTAAAATTACTCTTTTGGAATATTGCGGGTCTGAAAAAGAAAGATAATTTATTTTGGGACTACGTGAAAAATTTTGATTTTGTGGGACTAACAGAAACATGGATACTAGAGAGAGACTGGAACAAACTGAAAGACGTGTTGCCAAAGGAATTTCAGTGGAAATTGCAAGGGGCAAAAAAAGAAAAACGCAAGGGTAGAGCAAAAGGTGGAATCATAACAGGAGTGAAGAAAGATATAAAAGAAATAGAAGAGGGGGTGATAGAAATGGAAGGCATGGTTGAAAGAAAACTGACTGTAAATAAAAAAAGATGGAGAGAAGAAATAGTAGAGGAATGAGAAAGACGAAGCAAGAAATACAAGAAAAAATAAAAAGAGTCCGAAGAAGAATTTCTATTGTTGGGAGGGGACTTTAATGCTAGAATAGGGAACAAAAGCAGGGAAGACGACGGGGAAAACACACGAAAATCGAAAGATAAAATAGAAAACAAAGACGGAAAATTGCTATGGGAATTAATTGAATAAAGAGGTTGGGAAGTCTTAAATGGGGTGAAGGAAGGGGACGAGGAGGGGAAATTTACCTGGATAGGTAAAAGAGGGGATTCGGTAATAGACTACGGAATAGTAAACGGATTAGCAGAAGAAGAGGTAGAAACATTCAAAATAGGAGAAAGAGTGGACTCTGATCACATGCCACTAGAAGTAAAATTGAGGGGCATAAGTAGAAGGAGCGAATGCTTAAGTAAGGAAGTAGGAACAGAGAAGAAGATATGGGTATGGAATGAAAAAGGAATTGAGCATTATAAAAAAAAATGTTGGAAGTGGAATTTAAAGAAAAAGGAACTGAAGAGAAAATGGAAGTATTAAAAAAAGAAATTGAAAAAGCAGCCATATGAAAAGAAATTGTAACGAGAAATTTAGAAAAGAGAGAGATTTAAAAACAGAAGCAAGGAAATGTTTACGAAGGTGGAAAAAGGCGAAAGGTATAAAAGAAGAGTACTGGCAAGCAAAAAATAATTATAGAAAACGATGCAAAGAAAACAAAGAAGAGATACAGCAAGAAGAAGAAGAAAAAATTAGAGCCATAAGAACGGAGCAAGAGGCATGGCAGTATATAAATAAAGAACGGAAGAACAAAATCACGATTAGTGAAGACATACCTATAACACAGTGGAAGAAGCATGTTATGGAACTGTTGAATGGAAAGGAAGAGAGAATTGTAGCGCAAGATAGTGAAACCGGGAATGGTGGTAGAGAAAGGGAGGCTGAGATTCGAATAGAGGAAGTAGGAAAACATGTAGGAAGACGGAAAAGAGAAAAAGCACCGGGGAGGGATAGGTTGGTAAACGAAGTGTGGATATTTGGGACGGATGAGATGATTGAAAGCTTGAGCGAGTTAATGAATGATGTGTGGACGTGTAAAGGTTTTCCCCGGGAATGGAGAGTAGGGCAAATATGCCCAATTCATAAAAAGGGTTATAAAGAAAAAGTAGAGAATTATAGGGGAATAACTCTCCTAAATACGGCATATAAACTGTACGCAATGGTGTTAAATGAAAGGTTGGTGACAGAGATGAACGAAAAGAGTATATTACCGGAAAGTCAAGCGGAATTTAGAAGAGGTAGAGGGGCTATGCACAATGTGTATATCCTGCATCATCTAATAGAAAAAGAGTTGCTAAAGGAAGGAGGTCGGGTATATGCACTGTTTGTAGATCTAAGAGCCGCGTTTGATACGGTGGACAGAGAGTATTTGTGGGAAGAGGACTGAGTGAAAAGTTAATTGCAGCAGCAAGAGAGATCTATAAAGAGACAGTGACTAGTGTGAAAGTGGGACAAGTAGAAAGTGAAATGTTTTCGACGCCGAAAGGATTGACACAGGGATGCCCATTAAGTCCCAGTCTGTTTGCTTGTTACATAAGCGATATCGAGGAAATGTTTAGAGGAGTACAAGCGGGAGGAATTGTGGTGGGAAGAGAAAAGGTATGGTGTTTGGCATTTGCAGATGATTTGGTAATATTGGCGAAGGATGAATGTGGAATGAATGAGAAGAAAAAAAATCTGCAAAGATACTTTAAAAGAAAGAAACTGGAGGTAGGTAAATGTAGAAAAAACAAAAATGATGGTGTTTAGAAAAAAAGAAAGAAAAGGGGAGGAAAAAGTGTGGCGTTGGGAAGATCAAATCATAGACACAGTAAAGGAGTTTAAATATTTAGGATTTAAGTTTACGACAACTAACACGGTAAAAGCACACATGAGAGAAAGAAGGGTCAAAGCAATGCAGATAATGGGAATGGTGTGGAGTATAGGTGAGAGAATATTTGGACATGACGTATGGATGAAAATGTTTGATAGTTTAGTTAGGAGTGTATTAATGTATGGAGTGGAGATATGGGGATGGCAGGAATATGCAGAGATTGAAGCAGTACAAGAAAAATATTTGAGGTGGATGTTAGGGCTACGGAAAGAGACGCCGGGCTATATAGTAAGAGAAGAATGTAAACGAGATAAATTAAGAGTATACACTGGGAAAAGAGCTGTTAAGTATGATGAAAGGTTGAAAGAAAGAGAGGAATGTAGGATATTGTATGAATACTGGAAGGAAAAAAAAGGAAGCAGGGAAAGAACATCACAAGGGTATCAAGGATATTATGAAAGACTGGGATACGCATCGATGGAAATAGAGAGAAAGAGAGAAATGGGGGTGAGTATGAGAGAAGAGTTGTGTATGCGTGACAGAGACATAGATAAACAAGAAAGAAGAGCGAGTGTAAGTAAATCTAGGTACAATGCAGACTATAGAAAGATAATAACAGAAAAAGTACCAAAGTACCTAGACAGAGAAAGCGCGAAAGAAAAAAAAAATAATTGCGAGATTTAGGTGTGGAAATGAAGAAAGAAATAATAAGTTTTGGGTAAGCGAAGGTGAGAGAATGTGTAGGATGTGTGGAGAAGGTCGAGAGACGATAGAGCACATGCTGCATGACTGTGAGGAGAGCAAAGAAAGAGAGGAGAGTGTGACACAGATATTGAATGAAGACGGAAGAGGGGTGGAATGGACGAAAGAAATGGAGAGGACAAGAGTAAGGCGGGGGCAAGGGGGGATCGGATAAAGGAAAAAAAATGAGTTATTTGGTTTTTAAAATGTTTTATTTGGTTTTTGTTAATTATGAAAAAATTGTAGTGCAAATCAAGAACCTTTTAAGCCCGTAGGGTAAAAATAAACACTTACTACTACTACTACTACTACACAAACATTTTGCTCCATATCTAAAAAATTATCGCGCGATAGAATTTTATCTCTAATATGAAAAATATTGATATGAAAAATATTTTTTAATTTTCGTCACTACTATGCTTTAAAACTCCATGGCCTAAACATCGCGCACAGTTTACTTCTAAAAAATTTAGAACGAAAATGTTCCTGCTGTGCCTTTGCGACAAGGTAAACCTCATGATTACCGACGGTCAGTTTTCACAATAGTACAAATCGTCTAAAATATCATAATTTGGACCAATTTTAAATGATAAACTGAACATTTTTTCCATTTTTGAGTAATCTCGTAACTGATTTTCCACCTGGGCCAATGTCGGATTTAGTGCCGTAGAAAAGCTCATCAGAAAGATCTGCATACGATGCTTGTTACCTGTACCTTAACAATCCACGCATATATTATTTTAAATCATAGGGATCATCATTAAAAAAATAATAATAAAATCCTCAAAGATAAATTTTCTAATTTTTCAAATTTATATTTGTTGGACTGTACTTCAGGGACGAGGGGAGTTCTGTCGAAATAATCTTTGACCAATTTTTTTAATGGGCATAATCACACCTCCATCACAACAATGTATAAACTTTACTTCATTTTGCCACATCGACACAAGCTATAGTTAAAAAATTATTGATTTTATCACTGTTACGTTACGTAATTTTTTTTACTGTTACGCTGCTGACACATTTTGCAAGTCAAAATATGCAATTTGTTTCAAAAACAATAATTATTGCAAACTAATTTTTGTTAAGATTAAAAATAATCTGAACATAGGAATAATTATTACCAAGTTGAACCACTGGTCTACTACTTACACACTATAATTAAATTACAATATTTTTCATAACTTGGTCTCTCTTCGGAGTAGATACCTCAGTTTTGTTATTTATACCTACTATCTTCAATATACCGGTACTAGATTTCCACCCCCTGTGACGTTTGATACAAATTAGGTCTCCTGTATTTGTCAAAAAAATGACAACTCCTTCTGAAGCAATAGCCTGTGTGTATTTTATTAATTATATTTTTATTTTGAACAAATTCAGCTTAGTGCCTAAGTATATGTTGATTGAAACATTTGTCATTACTGTATTTATAGAGTAAACGCCAACATGAGGTATTGGGCGGCCGCAGGGCTCTATCTTTTCGATATGTTTCTACATATTCAGGGCAAGAAACTATAAACGTTCTCATCTTCAATGTTATCAACCGCCATCTTCACCAACTCTTCGCCGCGGCACGTCCCACTAATACCTACAATTAGTAGTACCTGCAGCAAATATCTAGCTAGGTAGAAGAGAATGTGTTTTAAGCCTTGGCCTTCGTTCTCGGCCTAAAAATTCACATTCTCATGCAACTGAAAAAAAACAACACGATTTCTCGCACTTAATACAAAAATAACTGTTTAATCTTCATTAAAAGTCAAAAACTGTTATAGTTTAATAAATTAGAAAAATAGATTTAAATTATTTTGTCTATCCTGCATTTAGAAAGAGTAATATGTTGGGCAATAAACAATAATTTTTATAATATTATTACTAGATGCAAATTAAACATAAATCGACAAATACCACTGACTTATTAGATGACGTAATTCACCGCTAGATGGTTCATTATACTTGAACCGGAATCCCCAAACAAGCTTTGAGCGATGGATGTAAATTAGTAAGAATATGTGGATAAAATCGCCAGTAGATTTTTCTCAAACAAACTGAAAACACGTCACAAAACAATGTGCTTTAAACTATTAAACACCTATATAAAAGTGGGCAAGTTGTTCGCTCTTACTCCACCTTCCATTGAAACCGAAGAAAACACCAAATTCCGTCAAATTTATCAAGTGTTTATGATTCTACTCACCATTGTTTGTGTCACGATATCTGTGTATTTCAGAGATTTCTATTTGCAATACAATCTTGCAAAAATAACAGTGTGCCTTCTTACCGATATTGTGCTGTGTATTTTTTGTTGTCGGGTAGTGTGGGACACATCTAAAGTGCCACAGTGGATTGAATTAATTAACTGCTTAAAACAAACAAGCTGCTTATTAGAAGAGACAGACAATAACAAAGAAGAACGAATACAATGGAAGTTTATAGTGCCCCAGGTTATTTTTTGGATTATCGCAATTTTTATAACCGTTTATTGGTATACCGTTTTGGGAGTGCTACAGTTAGAACAGTACGGGTTCGAAATTTTACAGAATTATGTCCAGCTGTTTTACACCTTTTATATACACACGATTATAGACATGATTCAACGGAGATACAAAGCTTTGAAGCTTCATTTCGAAAGAAAGTTAGTATCAAATGATCAAAATTTAAATCAGATGGGGCACTATGCTTGTACCTTGAAGGAGACTGTGAACATATTTAATAGTATTTATGGATGGTCTTTACTTTTATTAATCACTTTTACCACTCTTCAGTTTCTTAATTATTTAGAATACAATCTTCAAAGTCAAGAATATGGAACACAAAACGTGTCTATGACTATAATAGCAGAAGTTTTAGCTATCGTTGTGTCCTTCGTAGGTACTAATTTCTGTGTATTTTATGTTTCTAACCAGTTTGTTGTAGGTACCTACAAGTATGTTACTTCTAAAATGTGACAATGTAATGGAAGAATTTGAAAACATTGTTTTTCTTGTATCGAAGTCCAGTGCAAAACTTACAGATCCACAAATGAGGGAAGAAGTGGATAGGTTTGGTAATATTCTTGCAACAAATCTTCCTCAGTTTAGTGGAGCAAGATTTATTTTCATTGGTCGAAGTACACTCTTGGGTATATTTGGAACCGTTGCTACGTTTTTCATAGTGATTACTACGTTTGAACCCAAAGCAAGACCAAATATTATTGAAACAGCAGCGAACGTGTCCCTGTTCGGAACGTAGAGATTTTATTTTGACTTAAACTGTTATAAAATGATCATCAAACGCAAATTTATTGTAGGTGTAGGTGTTCTTACGTATGTATTAAAGATATACGCGAAGATTTACATTCTCAACTACAAAATTTTTGCCGGTTTGTTTAGTTATCAGAATGCGAAATACACACGCAACAGTTGTAAATTATATTTTTCGTTTAATCAGTAGGTACCATCCTTTGTTAATTTTATGAATCTGAGGTTGAACTCTAGTATTACAAATTTTGGTAAAAATTTTAATAATACCCTTGCCAAAAAACTGGGAGGAGTACATTTTCATGTCCCACAATTATAATATTATTGTTTTCTGAAGTTTTCCTTGTTGTTTTATACATTATTGTAGTGGTTTAATATATTAATGAATGTACTGGAATGCACATAATATGAATGAACTAATTTTATCAGCGTAACATAATCTTCCTTGGCTTTGATTAGAGCATGCACATTAATTGCATTTAAAAATAGCTTGTTATTATTTGCTTGCACATATGGATACATGTAATTGGCTTAAATACGAGTATAAATATATTTATAACATGTATAATCATCCTGTAATTTTAAAATAGTGAAAGTATTTGTAAATAATAAATGATGCACAAAAATTGTTATGTTTTAATATAAACGAAAGAAATTTATAGGTGGTGTACAACATTTTATCTGCGACTGCTTAGATAAGACACAAAACTAATAAAAATATGTACTTCTATATTTTACAAAAAATTCAAATTACATGAAAACGTTTTTCGTGACACAAATTTTATGATGATTGATGAGTGACTGGGAGAGTGTCCCTCGGATATAGAAGAAACTGCGACCAGTGTTCTATCCGCGTTATTACCAGCAAACTCAAAATTGAAGTGTGCAAAAATTTACGAACGGTATTTGAAATAGTATAATCTGTCGAAAAAGTACAAATCCTCCAGTGTCTGGGCTTTTTATTCAATGCTGAGGACGACGATATCTACGAAAAACAATGCTGACATAAGCAGACGCCAGTTGATTGCATTTTTAAAAAGGCAGTCAGTTTTACTAAGGTAAAATATGCCAAAATGTCTTCAAATTATTTTAAATATTTCATATTTTTTGCAGGTTGCATTGAAAATTGACATCACTGGAGCTTGCTGAAAAGCACTTTTTGAAAATATTGCGAGTTTTACATTTCGCAACATTTTCATCCACTCGATCTTTTAATTTTTGGATTTTTTGGATTTCCGATTTTTTGATTTCTTGATTTTTCAATTTTTCGATTTTGACAATATTTTGATCTTTCCTTCGAAAACGAAACTTCACATATTGAAAAAAAAAGGCGCCCCTACTATGCTGTAAAATTCTTTCCGAATAAAGAACTCCACGAATCCTAGAGATTTTATAAAAGAATTTTAAAAACAAAACACAAGAGGGCCCGGAGATTTTTTTATATTAAAAAAACACAAAATGCCTGCAAGACTTTCTCTTTTAAAGGCAAAAAATTGGTCTAAAGTTATTCACACAGATCTTCCCTCGCCTCTGAAGTGAAAATATATTATCAGTATATCCTTAACTTCAATTGTTTATGTTTAAACATCGAAAAAAGGCCAACTCAAAACAGAGGAAGCGTTTAGAATTATTAATTAAGTGACGACGCAGCAAAACGTTCTGAATATTATTTTGAAAATTTGTATTTCATCCTTATTAAATATAGGCGGCCGCAACATTACTGTGTTCTAAAACTTTCGAGCCCCGGCGCCCTTCACAAACCAGTGCTCGTGTATTGGTATAAAATGTGATGATCTAAAAACGAGAAGGAGAAAAATTAAAAGAAAATCGTTAAATTGAAAAATCGAAATATCAGAACACTGAACAATTAATTTCGAAAAATTGAAAAATCGAAAAATCTAAAAACGATAGGGCAAAAAATCGAAAACTTGAGAACTAGTGGCCAACCGGTCGGGTGAGCCGACTATTCGGCCGTTTTTCATCGTCGGCTGGCAGTCGGCGACTGGTCGGCTAAACAGCCGATCGGTCGGCTTTTTTTATTAAATTTAAAATTGTATATAATACAATTAAACCCGGTGTACAGAACCTCAAATATTTAATAGCGATTTAATTTTTAACCCGGCATTAAAGCACCATGTGACCGACTCTACGCCAATCAGACGTCGCTAATGGCCTTGTTAAATGCGTGATCAATTTAATCTCAGTTAAAATATTGTATAAACTGGCCCTAAATTGTATTATTCTTTATTTTTGTACTGAGTTAATACAAAAAAACAAAATGTTAAAATTATCCAAACAAATTTAACACATTTTTTGGAAAACAAAAGAACTTTAGTTATTCCTTTACTTAAAATAAAACCAATTTTTAAGGTAGTCAGAGAAATACAAAAAAAGACACACTGTCTGTCCCATTTATAAACCGATTTTAGTAAAGCCGAACAGTCGGCCGATTAGTCGGTTTTTACTGGCCGAACAATCAGGGCTAGTCGGTTAGTCGGCCAGACCTACAGTCGGTACATCCCTACTAAAAAGTAAAAATCCTAAAATTTAAAATCTGAAAAACTGAGAAATCGAAAAATGTAAGATTTAAAAAGTCGCAATATTTTGATAAATCGAATAAGTAAAAAACCAAAAACACGAATAGTCGAAAAATCGAAAAAGTTAAAAGTCAAAGTATTTAAAAGTCGCAAAATTGAAATCGATAGAAAATAAATACAACTTACTACTTGAGTGTTTAGGGAATTATGGCAACCCGCAGAGAGAAGACGGAGGAGCAGGATGACGTCTGGTTCGGTTTCGCCCTATACTAAATATGTACTTGAAAAGATCGTCGTGGTTTCCGGAGTTTTAAAAATACTGAAGTCTACAACCAAACCACAATCTAAGTAAACCTGTATTCTGCTACCGCATGTCAGGCCGTTTAATGCCGATTTCTCGTTTCAATAGATTCTGACTTTTCGAGAGGGAAGTACTGTCTAAACTCTTTAGACCATTTTTTTTTTTAAACTGCAGACTAGATATGAATATAAATATGGAAGTTGTTAATTCGGAATATAATTTGATTAAAGCGATATATCTCGTATTTTAAAAATGCAACTCCGGCAATAACGACGATGTTTTCAATGTAAAGTAACCTCATTTGACATACACCTGTTAAAACTTTTATTACTTAAGCAGCTTAAGCCAAACCACCCTTATAAGTCAAACTGGCTATTGTATTACTTAACTCAGTTCACAGCTACATTATGCCAACAATGGACAGTAATAATCTTGCGGTTTGGGTCCACAAAGCTTACAATAGCCAGTTTGATTTATAAAGGTGCTTTGGCATAAGCCGCTTAAGTCATAAAAGTTTTAACAGGGGTATGTCAAATGAAGCTTGTGTATTTAGTATAGGGCGAAACCGAACCAGACTCCAGCCTTGGTACCGACAACACTTTTGCGTCCGATAGTACTGTAAGGAGTCTTAACATAGACCTTTTTCATAGGTATTATTAATTAATTCATTTACCAATTGAATTTGATTTCGTACTTCTTCTGCTATTCTGTTTGCACCGTGGACGAGACAAGTGCAATGAATCAAATTTGGATAAAATACTTCTAACATGTCTTAATTTTAGCAACAGTTTCGATATAACGTTCATCTACAGTGGTTTTCCTGAGAGTGCCTTAGTCTGGAATGGTCCTTTTACAGTATTTTTCCAAAAATGAATTAAATGTACGATTACTTAAGTTATTTAATGGAATATTCGAGTCAAGCATAGCCTGACATAAATCGAACTTGAATATTCCCTTTTTATTTTTGGCTGTATTAGTTGATATAGTTTCTCGTATTGATGGTTAAGTTTCTTTTTTCACAATTTCTATTGTTAAGAGGCATTCCGCAGTGTTTCTTTGTGCTCGAAATCTATAAAAAAAATTGAAAACAAATAATTATTTATGTAAGAGATACCTATTATTGACATCGAATAACACGCAAAACATATTTTTTTATTTAGTTCTCTTAGACTTTAGTCTAAGCAATGAAAATATTTTTTTAAAAACTTACTGTTTTGCCGCAAGGTTCACAAAAACACCATCTCCATCTAGAACCAACTCTGGCTAGGGGAAGATATTTTTTTATTATTCGCAATATCACTGTTCTGTCGCCAGTTCGTAGACGAATGATGAATGAATTTGGAAATCGAAGAATGAAATACAAATCCATTCTAGCTTATCCATCTCTTCCAACCCCTCATTAAATAAATTTGCAGGACTATTTATATTTATAAGATCCGGCTTAGAGGCCGTTAAGTAAAGAATTTCAGTAATACGCCTAACTGGGGAAATGAAAACTTGGAAAAACCAGTCCACATTACTAGAAAAGGTCGGTACTTATTTACCTACATACTGGCAATAACCAGCTGTATTAAAATTGTATTAAAATTAAGATTTTCACCAACTACTACGAAAAATGCAGCAAAAATTTTAAAATATACATAAAAATGCACTTAACATTAAAATAGGCAATTAATGCAAAACAGTAGTCAGATATGCAGAATATGCAAAAATATGCATTTTACATATTATCGGAGCTTTAATCATTACAAATTGAGAGTAAAACACGGCATAGCTAATCACATCAGCTGATGGTATTAATACATTCAACTGCTAAAATACTGTCATTATTGTTTATAGTACCCCTAATACATAGGTAAGTGTTTTATTGTTTGTAATTTACTTAAATAAAATTTTCCACCTCTATATTTATCATTTTATTCTTGAATCTATTCTTGAAGCTCAAGATGAGTTGTGTAATGAGTTTCATTACACGGTATTACACCAGTAGTGGAATAATATTGACCACTACAAAACTCAAATAGCCGTCATAATAAGTGATTTTCAAATCGGATAAATCTTTTTAATGAATCAACAAGCTGAGAAAACAGCTTGACTCTGAACTAACTGAGGTCATTTTACTAAGTATTAATCAGTTTTATACATCAACTGCAAAAAAGAGTCGCACCTTGACTTTAAATCTAATTTTACAAGTTTGTTAAACCGTTCATTCAATTTTTTTTTTTACTTTTGTTTATTAGTTTTTACAAACTTTTTCTAACATAATACAGTTGTTGATTTCCATGCACTTATTAATTTATATTGAAACTAACTGTACACCCGCTCACTTGTTGGTTAATTGAAATCAAAAACAAAATTAAAAATACGATATTTACAACACACCCTATAACCAAATTTTCTAAAAAATACAAAAAATCATATCCCATGTATCATAGCTTGGTATGTCTGAAGCAGTTAATTGAAAAAAGCCGCAACTTGCTCAGCAATTACTTTTTCTTTCTCTTTTCTCTACGGTTATTTTGTAACCATTCTTAGGTCTTGCAACAACCTGTATGAGAAAATCCATGTCTTCTATGGACTTGTAATTTGAAGATGTAACTTTGTAGGATCTCAAAAATGTAGACAGAATTATTTTCATTGACAATAACCCATATTTATAAGCTGCAACCGAGTCAGACGAATAAAATCATAAATTGAACATCAAGTTTCCAACGTTACCTATACAGTTTCGAGCACCGTAACTAAATGGTATGTAAGAGCAAACCGGTCGCTTTTCTACCTCGTCTGGCAAAAATCTATCAGGGTCAAATTTCGCTGGATCAGGCCAAAAGTCTGGTCGTCGATGTACCATAGCGATAGGAATGATAACTTTGGTACCCGTAGGTAAAACGTATTTACCTGCAAAAACAAAATTTCTTTCGTTGTGTAGAAAAATAAACCAAGTCACCTAAGTGAACATTTTCATCTATAGATCTCATAACGAAAGGTAGGGGTGGAATTAATCTCATCGTTTCTTTGAGTACTCTATCCAAATATTGCATCTGGTGTACATCCTCCAGAGTTGGATCTCTGTCGCTGTCGCCAAATATAGCATTCAGTTCTTCATCGATTTTTGTCTAGGGTATAAATGTAAAACAACTTGACAAAAAAGAGAACAAGTTAGTACCTGCACATCTGGATTCATTCCGAGTACTAGTAAAGTGGAACTGAGTACAGCAGCTGATATTTCTGTTCCAACAAAGTACATAATTTGACTTTCTTCAAGCACGTAGTCGTGTGGTATTTCTTGGTTGCGATCTAAATTCATCATATGGGTTAAGAAACGTTTCTTTGTAGATGCATTTTCTGAAAGGAAATAAGTAAAAACAATTATATTGTTCTTGTTTGTTTGTTTTTACCATTATCGTCTTGAGTACTTTTAGATTCCATCAAATCAATCATCTGAAAATTCAATTTAGCGCCTTAAAAGTTTCAAATAGTTGCTTACCCTTTGGATGCAAGAGCAATTTTGTTTCCAAAGTGTATTTACTTCTTTCTTTAATGGAGATAAGCTCCAGAAAATATCAAAATGCAAAAGTGGGTGGAAAAAACGTCTCAACAGAATTTCTTCCATTCTTTAAATCTTTTAAGATTAGCTATATGTATTGTATAAATCGTGTCTCACCTGAAAATTCCTGCTACATACTGCTGAGTGTTAATTAAAGACGGATTTACATCTGCTAAAGTTTCTACAATAATACTAATTTATATGAGATTATTTTTTTGTGTGTAAGATTACCACAACCGGCATCGAGCGTACATTTCCAGATCGATGGAAATACATCAACGGCTTCCTTTCCACACACATCGTCAAAATTTTCAGTAAACAATTTAGCGTGTTTGGCGAACGTGTCAACGAAACTGTTGATAAGTGAAATATTAAACGTAGGATTAATATTTTTCCTATTTTGTTTCCACAATTCAACTAAAATCAAAATTTTAATCTTACAATTTCCCGCGCTTGTGCTACTAACGTGGAGCTGCTGCTAGCGATCTTCGGAAATAGCCCGTCATTAAATGATAATAGTTTCCTTTATCTAAGAACCGAGTCAATATCAATTTTATATATTCCGGTTCTGTCGTGCTCACGTACAGATAAGGTCCAACCCACGTTTTTACAATATTAGGATAGTCGGTGAAAAGATTTCTTAAAAATTTGTGAATTTCTGCAAAATTCTCTCGTAACTACTGTTGATCAAAATTTCATGTTTGAAACTTACCGAAAGCTCCTCCTGTAACTAAGTTAATATTTCCCACTAGAGGCACTGGAAATGGTCCTGGTATTTTTGAAGAATAGTAATAAAGCCATCTTCTTCTCCAGTGGTAGACAAAAAGTGCTATTAGAAAAATGACAAATATCGGAGAAAACAACCTTAAATTACTGTATAATAAGGGTTCAATTATTTTCATGTTAGTTGCTGTTTCGTACTGTTGCTAAAAATGTGATAAAATGATATTCACAGTATGCAAGTTGTTATAAATATTACAATGTTTGTAAGCGGCCTACTTACGGCGGGCTACACAGTGGAATTATTATTAACTGGTGTGTCAGTAATTGTTTGTTTTATATATTTAATACTGGGTTAATTCAGCGGTTCTCAATCTTTCGTACTCATGAATACTTACCGCTGAATTTAAACTGAATTTCAGGCTAAATTTGACCTTTTGGTAGAAGGAAACGTGAAAAACGCGTATGCATGATTAATCTCATAATTGACATTTGACAATGGTTTGACATTTTTGACAAGCAGAGTAGATTGCTTTTACGTGTTTCCTATTTTCCGAATTTAAAAAAATCAGTTGTTTTCGGAACTAACCAACAACCAAACGTTTTATTTTTAGTTCCATGAAGCTCCGATTCATTGTACATTGGACAACTTAAATTTCTTAAGAAACTTCTTTGATCACCGCATAATTAGTCAAAATACAGAAATTCCTTGGCCACCTCGGTTCTGTGATTTGACAACTTTTGATTTTTTCTTGTAGCCTCCCCATTTGGCAAGATTTACTTTGATAGATGCACCTTTTTAAAGTATTTTTTATTTTCATTAAATGATAATGCTTAAAAAAATGAGACTGAGAAGAATCTGTAATAGATCTATAATCATTTGACATTTCATGATATCTTTTTCTTTTTTTAATTGGGACTATTTGTGTTTCTTGCAGTATATTAAACTAAATGCCTTTACGAGTATACTTTATATAGTAAACTATATTATATCCTAAACTGTAAGAGAAATAGAACATTTAGATTATATTTTGTCATATCCTGTCCTCGCTTTATTGTCAATTGTTTTGTGGTCAGCCCTGTGTGCGTTTGCGTAGTTAAAACAGCCTCAGGGAACACTGATTACCAAGTTTTGTTATACCTGTCATTATTTTCTATATGCAATATATAATTTTGCTGTTACTATGCTGCAAAAAATAACCAACTCGACAACAACAAATTATCATGTGTGCGAAATAATCTGCGTAGGACATACGTGCAGTCTCTCGGGCAAAATCCAAGTCAATTAAATGTGTAAACAGTAACTAAAATATTTTATTTTATTACAGAAGAACTAGATTTAAGCTTAGTCGTCTCATTTGACTCTTTATGTGACAGTTATCTGAGAGTGACTGTCAAACTGAACAAGGAATGCGTTTCTGTTGCCAACATCATTAAGTCTAAACTGATCAAAAGACAAATCGTGAAAACGTTGAGTAGTGAAAAGACGTTCTAATGTCATTGATAAAAGCATGGAAAAGCGAGGCTCCCAGGTGAAAGTCCTGGGGAACTCCAGATGTTACTTGAATGTCACCAGCTTCAGGAGACATCATTATCTATCCTGTTTGAGGGAAGTCCGGCCGGAGAAAACAAGTTATTTTATGAAACAATGAATCTTTATAAACAAAGTGAAAAAAAAAGCAGTGCGCACCAAAAATTTAGAAGAAAACCAATAACCAAAACTTATCAAACAGTTGATAAGAGTGATAAGCCTCCGAGCGGTCGACCCCGGCTAGTTTCTTTTCGCAACTCAGGAAGAAGCAGAGGCGTATTAAAGAAATTTCAACACGTCAACGAACGAGATTATGGCAAAACTAGAAAACAATTGAAATACTAGAATAGAGAAAAAAATGTGGCCTGTGGTGGGGGAAACAGGAAATTATGCGAGAAAACAGGAATATAATGGAAGAAAACGCAAAATTAAAAAAAAAAAATTCTGCAAGTACATAGAAATGCTCGATACAGAGATCAGAAAGAAGAATATAGTAATACACAAAAAGAGATAAATGAAAATTGAAAAAAAAAAGCAAATTGGAGGACATTTTGGGTAAAATAGGAGTACAGACTACAATTATTATTATAAGACAAAGTTTATTTACCTCACACCACTCGCACAGAAGATTGATATCATCTTGTAAGGCTTTACAACTTTCAAGGTCACTTATAACTATTACAAGTTTTAAGTCGTCAGCGTACACAAGGGCTTTTGAAGAAAATTTTTTCACCAAATCATTAATAGAGATAAGAAATAAAAGCGGATCCAGGTTAGATCCTTGCGTTACTCCAGTTGTTGCCCTATACAAATAAGATTTAACACCATTAATCTCGACATATTGCAATCAATTTTCTAGCATAGATTTAAACAAGTTAACAAGACGATATAATTACTAAAATCAGATCTATTTGTTATCACAAACACTCATAGATCTGATTTTAGTAATTATAACACCATGATCAACTTGATCAAACGCTTTACGAAAGTCAGTGCATACCACATCTACCTGAAGCCGAAGTCGAACGTTTCTTGACAAAACCATGTTGTTCTTCAACCAGTGATGACGAGACGTGACACTTCAAGAATACTCCGAGAGAGTTTAGCAAATATAGGCACAATTCCTATTTGTCTGTAGTCAGTTATATTTGATTTACTGCCGAATTTGAAAACAGGAGATATTTTAATAATTTTCCACGTAACTGGAAAAACGCTGGACTTTATAATAAGATTAAAAATGAAACAAAGAACATCTTCAAAGCATGAGATACAATCCTTAATTAAGGTAAGTTATCCGAACCCATGGTAAAATTGGACTTCAATTTCCTGCAAGCATTTCTGATATCACAGTTGGTAATTGAAAATTGTTGAAGGAAGGTATCACCAAATCGGTTATCACAATCTTGGTTATTACAGGTAATTTTAGAAGAATTGCTGTTATAACAGGAAGGACCACGTTTCATTGAGGGCATACCTATTATTTGCACATTATTTATGCAGGTGTCACTGTTGTTCTGAGTACTTGATAGTAGAAACACAGTTTTAAAATGGTCTGCAAAACCGTTCAGTATTTCTTGAGCTGTAGAGAGTGAGTTGCCTTCTAAAACCATTCTACCCGGAATCCGTGTTGTTTTTTCTTGGTGTTTATGTAATTCCAGAAATCATTCGAATTTGTTGAGATTCTGGACTCAATGTTGTGAATAAAGTTCCTATACTTATGTCTTACGCACGTCTACACATCTTTCTGAGTTCTCTTAAGTTTGCCATAATACATATGCAGTTTTGTCCTCTTAGTTTTTCGCATTTAATTATATTATTTAATATACCATACAGGAAAAGTACATATGCACATTGCCTTCTCGAAAGGTTGACATAATACATTGTATGAAAAGTCTCTACATTCCACCTAAAAGCTACATACTTCAGTTTACGCCTCTCAACCCTTTCTAAGCTATTGCAATGAATCTGATATATGGGACTCCATATGACGGAAGCATATTCAAGACGGGATCTAAGGAATGCATAAAACAACAGTTTGTGACCAATAGTTCCTGAATTTCATACGAATTACGAATTTCAAAGCCCAAATAAATACATGCCGATGTTAAGACCTTCCTGACATACTCTACGAAATTCAGTTTCGCGTCAAAATGTGACCCCGAGATCTTTTATAAACTGTGGACGGTTTCTGTTTTCGTGGTGTAAGACATTATGAAGCATTTGTCACTATTCAAAGGTAGTTGATTATTTTTGCACCATAGAACTACACGATCTAAGTTTGATTGTAGCCGTTTGCAATCCTCAGTGCTGTTAATCTCAAAGAAAAGTTCTGAGTCATATACGCATATACAGATATTCGACATTAAGCTGGTTGGTGATATCATCAATATAAATATTAAAAAGCAACGGACCTAGAACAGATCCCAGACAATTGAGTAAATTTGTTAGACGAGAAACCCTTGTGATATACGTATAGTTTAATTAATGGGTTTGAAAAACCAAAACCTTGCAATTTATTAAGCAACATTGCGTGGTTGATTCGGTTAAATGCCTTGGAAAAATCCGCATAGGCATAATCTACCTGGTTACATCTATCAAGGCGATCAGCCAAATACTGAGTCGTTATAAACAAGTTAGTCACCTTTGACTTTCCGTTCACAAACCCATATGGTCGTGGTGTTAAACGATTAACAATATGTGGATATATCTGGTAAACACAATTTCAAAAACCTTGACAATGGGAAATGAGCAAGAAGAAAAAGAAAAGGTAACGATAGACAGAAGCGTATTCTATTATGGTGATATAAGGTCAGGAACTAGCAATAGAAGGAAAAGCAAATGAAAAGGAAAATTCGAAAACGACCTTAGTTATGGATATGGTAAAAGCTAGAAAAAAGATGAACAGGCTAAGTAACAGGAATAAAACTAAGGGACAAGAGAAGAAAACAACGAAAAGGGAATGAGCAGCATAAAAAGAAAAAATGAAAATCCTTGTTTTGGAATCTTTCCAGACATAACAATAAAGATGACGATTTTTGGGAGAGTGTGGGGAATTTTGTCGTAGGTTTAGCAGAAAAATGGATAGATGCAAAGGCTGGCAAAAGATGAAAGAGAAAATGCCAAAGGAATTTAATTGGATATGTCAGGGAGCACAAAGTGAGAAGAAGAAAAAAAGGGCTAAAGGGGGTAAGGAAGGGAAGAATTATATAAATATTGTCTATATATATAACTCGGTTTCAAAACGTTCTACGACGTCTTCCGACTTCTAACCGCCATTCTTCCCTATGTCTCCATAGGCCCTCTGCTAGATCTCATTCTTTTATTTCTTTATCAATTCCTTCCCGCCAACTTCTCCTAGGTCTTCCTCTTTTCCTTCTTCCGTGTGGTGTCCATGTCAAGATTTGTTTTGGAAGTCTATTTTCAGCCATTCTCTGTACATGGCCATACCAGATCAACTTCTCTACGACTTAGGAGCCCCTTCTACCCCACCTGTTGGTCCGCGGGAGGTATTTTATTTTCCTCCTACCCACCGGAAAACCGAGTCGGCCATTCCCCAATCCGCCACCCGGGGACGCGCTCTCTAGGGGTTACAGGTTCCCCCGAGAGTATAAATATTATCTACAAGGAAGAAAAAGAAGGATTAATGATATGGACGATCATCATCAAAGAAAACAAATGCCACATTGGAACAGTATATAATAAGAGCATTACAACAATAAAGGAAAAAATAAAAGACAAAATAGGTATAAATGGTGAGGACTATGTAATTGCAGGCGGAGATTTCAATCCAAGAACAGGAAGAAACAGACTATAAAAGTGAAAAGAAGAAAG